GGGTCATAAAGGCTTGACGTTAAAGTGGCCATCCAACAGTGAAGCAACAAGCCCACATGGAGAAAGCACACTAGCCAGTGAGATCACAAGGTGTCATCAGGACCAGGCAATGAGCATCAGAAGTTTCATAACAAAAAACTAACCAAAAAATGCATTGGTGAGAATAAGGGGGTAGGAGTGGAGACCCAAGGCCCATCTGTTGACAATGGAACATCCATCCCCCCAAGGAGGGGTCACAGGGAGGGGATGAGTCAATCAGGGTGCAGTAGAGCACAATGGATCACGCAATATTCCTCTGATCCCTTGAGGCCTCCTCACCCCCCACGATCATGACCCCAGTGCTGCGTCCCACTCTGGACTGGACGGGAGCATGTACATAGGTATAGGCAAGAGATAAAGCTCACGACACAGAACCCCGGAACAGGAATGGGAGTAGCGATACCAAAAGGGTAGCGGGAAGGGGGTACAAATCGCAATGTTTGGCACATAACCACACACACCCATCCAGGGGGAAGAACAATAGAAACCAGAAAGGAAGAGAGACAGCGGTCAGTGTGAATATGAAAATAATAATCTATAATCTATCATCTATCAAGGGGCCACGAGGGTGAGGGGGGAGAGAAAAAAAAAAGCTGATCCCAAGGGCTCAATAGGAAGTAAATATCTAGAAAATCATGATGGCAATATATGTACTAATATGTTGGATACAAGTGATATATGGACTGTAACCAGAGTTGTAAGAGCCTCCAATAAAATGATCTAAAAAAAAAACATGGACCACAGCATATCAACAATCATGAAAAAGTAAAAATTAAGGCATCTAGGTTTACTTATCCATAAAACTAAAGTGTAGCACCTTCAGGCTGAAATTTGTGGTGGAATGGAGTCCCCTTTGGGACTAAAAATCTTTGTAACACTTGCCCAAGCAGGGGCCGAGGCAAAAAGGCTACATGACTGAGAGGCCCAGGACCAGAGAAAGGTGTGCAGGCAGGCATGATTGGGAAGAGGCTCATCTGACAGGAAGAACTGTATCCTGAGCATTTCTTATCATGAATTAAGGTCCCTAATAATCTCGTAATCGTGAGTTTGGCCTGTGAGTTGTGTGTGACTACTATAATGAATTATTGAACCCAGCCAGGAGTGCTGGGGGAGGGAAGGTCAGTGTCAGAATTAGTAAAGAAGGTTGGCGCGTGGAGGCATGTCCAACTTCCACCATATAGAAATTGGCCTTGAGCTGATGTTGAATTTGATTCCCTTGACCCTGGCAACGTCAGAGGAGGGCAGATGTCACCTCCTTGCTATTCTTACAACTGGTTTTGCTCCTTTAGAGAACCTACTTTAGAGACAGTGCTCCTCCTCTATACTCCCATACCTTTACATTAATACTGTATATTATAATATATCACGGCACTGGTCATTCTCAATAGAAATTAAATATGCCAGAAACCACCCACTATCAGGTACTATCTTTATTTTTTTCCTTCTGTGTAGCATCTGTAACCATAAAGTACACTAAATAGCAAGGGTTTTTGTTTTTGATTGTTTGCAGATTCACGGTGATGGCTTGCAGGGTCCTAAACAAAAGAAGGCACATGGGACTTCAACAGCTGGTGTCCTTGGCAGAAACAGGAAGAACGTTCCTAGGCCCAGTGAAAGCATCCAAATTTATTATAGATCAAGAGTCTCATGAAAGTGTGTTAGTCAGCTCGCTAGTAAGACTTCTTGAGAGTTTGGATTTAACTAGTGCAGTGGGCCAGCTTCTCAACGAAGCAGTCCAAGCCCAGCATAACACATATGGAACTGGAACCAATACTCTCTTCTTTTTGGTTGGTGCTTGGAGCAGTGCTGCCGAAGAATGTCTTCACCTGGGTGTCCCGATTCCAATCATAGTGTCAGTGATGTCAGAAGGCTTGAACTCTTGCAGTGAGGAGGTAGTTTCCCTCCAAGTGCCTGTCCATAACCTGTTTGCCCACATGGACAACACAAATAGCTCTTCTGGACTTGAAACCTTCAGTGCCAGTTTGGGCCCTTTTCTACAGACCCCGTCAGATCCTGGTTTGACTCAGGAAGAGCCCGAACTCAAAGATGCCTCGCACCCAAGGACCATATACAGTCTCTCTGGGAAACCTCTGAAATCACATGACCTCTTCAAACGTCAGGCTAGAGCTGAAGCAGAGAAAATCAAATCTCTGGAAACTCTGATAAACGGGCCACTTCCAGGCACCTGCTGCAGAAAGTCAGTACTAATCCACAGTCGGCATTTTAATAGCATAGATAGAAATCGATTGGAAGACAAACCCAGTGGATTTCTAGGACCACCCAGAGCAGCTGGTTCCAAAGCGCCCAGCTGTAACGGTTTGGTAGAGTTGGTAGCAGGCCTGAGTCACGGAGATCCCGGCAGCATGAAATTGGTAGAAGCAGCAGTACGACTGCAGTATCAAAATGCATGTGTGCAACGAGGGGACTGCACCGTGCCGTTTATGTTTGACACCTCTAGAATCTTCACTTGCTGCCTGCCAGGTTTACCCGAAACGTTCACTTGTGTCTGCCCAGGGTATGTCACACTTGTACCCACAGCTCACACTGCTCTGATCCAGGAATTGCAGAACCAGTCCATGCGAGTAGTTCTCATTCAAGGTGACCTTACAGAGACGTATCGCCACCCGGGGTTTAATAAGTCTACAAATATTAAAACAGTATTGGAAAGCACGAAGGTTAGCCAAGCCAGCACAGAAGAGCTGTGGGAAAATCATATATTACAAATACTGACCCGGTTCAATGTTCACCTGGTCCTGGCACAAGGGAATGCATCTGAACGCCTAACTGAAAAATGCATGTACAGTAAACGGTTGGTCATTGGGTCCGTGAGTGGTCACGTGCTGCAGGCTTTCGCAGAGGCTACGGGAGCAGTGCGAGTGGCCTACGCCACACAAGTGAATGAAGACTGTGTAGGCATGGGCATCTGTGTGACCTTCTGGAGACGAATTCCCTTGGACGTGATAGATAAGAAAGACAGAATAGCAATCCTGTTTCACAGCGAAGGCATTCATTTGGTTACAGTGGTGCTCACTAGCCCCGTCATTGCACAGATGCAAGCCAAAGAAGACAGGTTCTGGGCATGTGCCTGTCGTCTGAATGCTGCTCTGAAAGAACAAAAGGTCCTCCTTGGAGGTGGTGCCGTTGAACTTTTGTGTCTTAGCCATCTTCGAATTATTGAAGGAAACTCTCCAAAGAAAGTAAGCGAAGCCTGTTCAAGGTGGCTTCATCATCATTCCTCGTGGCTGGCCTCGTCTCTAGCACAGTACAGAGCAACTGTGCTTGAATGCATGGCCACCGGATGGCACAGATACCTTTCAACTCTCCTCTGGAACACTGCCAGTTACTCATCAGAACCTGAAGCCAACACTTTCATTCAGCAACATCTCCAAAACGCCGTAGACTCGGGCTCTCCCTCATCTTACATCTTGAATGCCTATAGGGACCTGAATAGTGTTTTCAATTCAGACATTTCAAATAAATTGGAACAGATTCCAAAAGTGTATGATGTCATTACACCAAAGATGGAGGCGTGGCGCCGAGCATTGGATTTGACACTGTTGGTACTCCAGACAGACAGTGAAATTATTACGGGACATGGAGACACACAGATACATTCACAGGACTCGGAAGACTTTTTATTTTTGTGATGCTATTAATGAAATCTTTGGAAAATAATCTTTTGTATAATGTCATGGTAGTAAACATTTAACAATAGCCTAGTCATGCTATCTAAAGCGTTATATTACCAGAAAGAAACTTATGTCAATAACTTTGGGCTCTAAGATCTACCGTACTTACAAACTTCACAAGTTAGCTTATTACTGTTACATGAGCTGTTACAGAAGCCATGGCAAAGGAATTCTTCACAGCAGAAGCCACAGCCATTGTTCCATATTTGTTTGTGTCAGTTCCCTATTACCTTAAATTCCAAGGGGTAATGAAAGGGGTTGCTGATTGGAAGCCTGCATACATAGTGCATCTGTGTTAGTCTGGGTTGACTAGAGAAACAAATTCATAGACACTTGCGTTTAGAAAGAGTTTTAGATACAAGAGCAATTGAATATCGAGGAAGCAGTCCAGCCCAGTCCAGATCAAGTCCATAAGTCTGATATTAGTCCATATGTCCAATACCAATCTATAGATTCCTCTTCAGACTCAAGAAACACATGCAATGACGCTGAATGCAGGAAGATCACAGGCCAGTGGGTGGAAGGTCTTGTGAATCCAGTGGTGTTGTAAGCATCTCAGCACTGACAGGTCTATGTGGCTCTTTCAGCTTCCGGGCTCTAGCATAGAGCATAGGCTCTATGTGTCTTCTCAACAGGAATGTCTTGCAGAGATTGTGTCTGTGTCCTGCCTCCAGCGAGCTATTTATCTCCTTAGTACCTCCAAATGAAGTCATCAAACTGTGACTTGATTGACAGGCTAAACTCCACCCCTTTGCTCTTAAGTCTCAAACTGACAACAAATTATGTAACTACCGCATTACAGAAGAGGACTGCTGAGCTTGGAATCCACCGCTTTTATAGCAGACAGGGACCCCTAATGACATAGTGGTGATACGTTAGGCTGTGATCCTCAAGGTTGGTGGTTTGAAACCACCAGCCCCTCCCAGACACTGGACTTTGTACTCCTGTAAAAGAGTTACAGACTCAGGAACTCACGGGAAATTCTACCCTGGCCTACAGGGTTGCTGTGGGTTGGTATTGATTCATTGGCATAGAGTATTGTGCAGCAAGCAGAAGTAATCCTTTTTACCCAACTAAAGTTGTCACCACTTTCTTCAACATTGACCACTGCAAGCATAACACTGAGATTTGAGCTAGGTACTAAGATCAGCCTGGGCCTTCTATACTTGGTATTCCCAAAGATTTAGGGATCTCAGAGACCTTAATGATAGTCTCTTCCAACAATCTACCCAAAAGACTGGCACCTTCTTGGTTGAACATGAGCCTTTACATGAGTAGGCCATTCTGACTAACCGACCATCACAGTCAGATCCCTTCCGTTGGCCCCATAAAACCAGTCAGTTATCAGCAGGTCTCTGAGCAGCATGAGAAGATAATCTGCAGTGTGGCTCTGCACTTAGGTTCTCCAGGTCCTAGATTCAGTCAGCTGTGATTAAGCCCGAAGGTCTTTTGATTACACAGCCAAGATGAAACTTAAGGCCGATTTATTTTCGATTATGACTGTTACCCCTAATAAGCGTTTGTGCCCGGGAGCACCAGAGTCAATTTACTACAAATTAGAAAAAAGGTGTTTATTAAAGGCGACATTGGTGAGGAGTTCCACAGCAGCACAAGCTCTCCTGATGGAGTCCCATTTGAAATCAGAATACCGTATATACTCCAGTATAAGCCGAACCGAATATCAGCCGAGGCACAATTTTACCACAAAACTGCATTAAAAACGTGCTGAAAAACTCAGCTTATACACGAGTATATACAGTACATCCATTTTTTATTTTGGAAATCATACCCCGGTAGGGTCGCATACAGATATTTTACATTAGCTCAGGTTTTATGCAACTGTTGACTATTAGCAAGCATGAAAAAACAAAAAAGGTTCCTCAAGTCTCAAGACAATCTGAGTGTGTGTTGACTAACCAGCAGGAATTAGCTTTGGACTACTAACAGATGAAGCAAATAAGCATTTATTATGCTTTTGATGTAATCTCTGATGTCTTAATGAAGCTCAGAGTTATCTGGCCCTGTCAGGAGACGTGCACATCCAAAATGCTTGCCTCTGAGCAATGCAGAAAGTTCCAAAATTTCCAAAATGACAGGTGGGGCACAGGGAGTAAAAACATGGTCTAAATTAGGCTACATGTAGTAAGGGAGAATATGGGATGCATTAGGCTAACTACAGTTAGGTTACGCAATTCAGACAATGGCACTAATCCTAGGTGTCACTGCCAAAAATGGTGGGCGATAGGCCAAAGAAGCAACCACTATTCTCAATACAGAGATATCCCATTCCCAGTTTCCTCACATGCAAGCACAACCCTGAAGATAGCCAGGTTACTCTTGCTGAACCTGATTCAGATCACTGGTCTCATGGGTAATATCACTGAGCGATGCAATTGCTTAATGGTGATCTAAATGAGCTTCAACAAGAGTGACCTGGGTACCTTGAGGTTTGGGTGCTTGCATGTGAAGAAAATAGGCATGCAGCTTCTCGAGAGAAAGTGAGGCTGTCTGCTCCCCTAAAGATGTGAAGTATTGGAAACCCAAAGAGGCAGTTCTCCTCTGTCCTTAAGGTGACCGTGAGTCAGAATTGACTCGATGACAGTGAGCCGAACTTTTCATTGTAGCCTTAATTGTTAGTCATGGCTTAAACCTAGACCACTCAAATACTAAGAGAAGGAGATGATCAATCATATTAGAGCAAGGGTGTACTGGTCCACGTGTTTGTACATGCTCTTATCTGGGAGCTGCCACTAAGAGCTTAATGTACTGCCCTCATTACTGTGCAATACCTCCTCTTTGGTTATGGGGAAACCAAAGAGACGGGAGTTGTTTGCTGGTAAGATTGGGTGCTTCATGTATGTCCAAAACTGCCTTAAGAAGCTGTGCTTGGTAAGTAGGGCCCTGTTTTGTTTGTTTGTTTTGTCTTGTTTATCAGGCATCTCTACTGGTAGAAGTGTGATAACATTACAGTCAAGGCGACTGAGACATGAGCACCCATTCATCTGTCTACTGAAACTCGGGCATCCAGAGAGCACAGCACTCAGGGACATTCTACCCTGAACTGCCCACCTGTAGCCGATGGCAGGGAGTGCACCTCAGTTCTCCACACATACTAATGCCCAACATGGGGGAATCTCTTGAAACTGAGCATTTGCAAATATATAGCACATTAATACCAGTCATCTATTTTCTTATCAGTAGTCTTTGACTTGATCCAGAGGGCCTTGCCGACCCCTCGGGTTTTCTTTTTCTTCACTGCCAAGTTTTGCTCCAACCCAATGGTTGAATTTTTACCCCTGTGGTGCAAGAAGCGTAACACCTACACATTAGGGATAAAGCAGCTTGGTGAAAAATTCCATATATACTCGAGTATATGTTCGACCCGAATATCCTCCAAGGCACTTAATTTTACCGCAAAAACTGCCTTTAAAATGTGCTGAAAAGCTCAGCTTATACTCATGTATATATGGTATGTTACCTCCCTAACTGGGAACTCAGAAAGGCACAGATGGTTGAATGAGGTATTTAAGGAGGTTTTGTTTCTTGTTTTATCAGCTTGGTGCCAACTTCTCCCCTATGCCCTACCCAGTGACCAAAGAACACCCGGTTCAGGATCTCTCTCTGTACATGCACACACAGCACTATAGTACTACAACTCAGTGCAGTCATACAGCTTAAATTCTGAACACTAGTAGTTGGGCTGCTGACCACAAGTTCCATAGTTTGAAACTGCCAGTCGCTGCACAGGGGAAAGTAGGGGCTTTCTACCCTTGTAAAGAGTTAGTTTCTGAGATCCACAGGGGGCAATTCTACCCTATTCTGTCCCGTCCCTGAGTAGGTATTGACTCAATGGCAGGGAGTTTTTGGAAGGAGTCCTTGTGGTCTAATGAGTGGGTTCCTTGAGAGGTTAACCACAAGGTCAGTTCAAACCCACAAGCTCTGAAGGAAAATGATGAGGCTTACAAAAGGGAGGTCCTACCCTGCCTTATTGAGTTGCTGAGTTGGGACTCCGTGGCAGTGAGTGAGTTGCAGTTTATAGTGATAGCCTTAAATCCATTTTGAGGCTCCACAGAGATTCAGCCTCCATTGAATTCTTTCTGACCGTTGACTAGCAATGTGAAAAGCTTTGCTGTCAGACAACGTGTGTTTGCTGAGACTCCCCTGACCAGCCCAGAGAACAGTCTCAAGCCATCTCAGTGCACCAGTTTTGGGCCAAAAACAGCATACCTCTCTTGCGCCACCTACCTGACTCACCTGAACTCGCTGTGTGACTTCTTTTTGTTTCCCTGAGTACAAAGGAACATGAAAGAACAACGATTTGACCGTGTAGAAGAGGTGAAGAAAAATGTTTCCAAGAATGGAATCTCAGATTTGACAACTGTATGAAGTGTAATAATACTTTGAAGGTGATAAGGTTGTTTTGTGTGTATATATATATATATATATCTCTGAAAACAAATTCCATTTGGGGAGGGGTACCCCTTGTAAATCTTTACAGAAGCAAGCAGACTGCCTCATCTTTCTTCCATGGAGCACCTGGTGGGTTTGAACCACTGACTGGCCTTTCCATTTGCAGCTCAGTGTCTCAGGAACAAAAAGGGCTTGGGCCCCTCCTGGAGAGGTACCCCAATAGGAAAGGAAAGTACTAGAAAAGATGTAGTTAATGTCTCCAACTGGTTGGAGCACATAATTGAGGAAAATAATGGTAAATAGTTATAGTAATGCATTTGGCAAAGTGCTTTGCCCTTTAAAGGAGTCCTAGCCTCCTGGGAGGTGTCTAACCACCAAGGCAGCAGTTCAAAGCCATCATCTGCTCCTCAAAAGAAAAGGGGCTTCCTATTCCCATAAAGAGTTACGTCTTGGAAAAGAAGCAGGGCCAATTTTCCCAAATGGGTTCGCTGGCCTACGAAAGTAAGAAACAAGAATACACCACACCAACCTTCAACTCAAATGCCCTT